TCATATATCTTTGAAAACCATATGATTATAAAATTTACATTCATTCAATTAATCTCTTAATACATGAGTGTCAAAGAGCGTCTTTTTTTCACACACTTTGGCAAGATTTAAAAGCATTGGGTACCTTATTTAGCTCAGGGAAAAGCTCTTGTACAGCAATATCCAGCAGTACATAGGTCAGCTGTAAAAACAAAGCAAAGAACACCATCTTAAAAATTGTTTTTTTTTACAAGACAAAAGGAGGAAAGAGTGAGCACAGTGTTGCCCATTTCCAGATTTTGCACGAGTTACAACTTGATTTTTTTACCCGATTCATACTGCTTTGACATGCTTTTTCCCCATATTTTACTGCTACACAAAATGAGTCATGGATACAAGGAAAAACGGTGTCCAATTCAACCCTGTCTAAATGACGTATTCGCTCCCTAAACAGGCATTTGGTGTTTTTTAGGCAATGACTATATCAGTTAGACATGAACACTAATGGGTTTCAGTTCACCTTCCAGGAAGTCTATCAACACAGATAATTCCATCCATGACTATTTCCAGAAAAAAAAACAATATATTAAAATGAACACTCTCTGATATGTTCCATAATTCCAAGAAGCAACACAGATTACCATACAAACACTCTTCACACAACAGAATCAGTAGTCTATTTTAAGGTCCAAAAAAGGAGTGGGACATACCTACATTTACACCCACTACCACGTTCTTACCTGCTTATTGAGAATGGGCTGCTGTAGCCCATCGAAGAGCAGCCTGATTCCCTCATACTTGGCCTCTTCTCCGATGCACTTCCCCAGGAAGTCTGAGTGGGATAAGAAAAAAAAAATCATTAAGAAGTATTTCAAGAAATTCAAAACACATCACATATGACTGAAGAAAAAAAGAAAAGTACAGAAAACAGGTCTAGTGGATGTAAAAGTCCAGCTCAATTATACATTTTAAGATTCAATGAAAAACACGTTTTAAAAATGTCCGTTTTTAAAAAGTGACAACAAGTGACTTTAGAGTCTCTTATGGATTTGGGCAATAAGTCCTACAGACAACAAGTTCCGCTGTACAGGTGAATGCTCTGTTGTCCATTTTGTGACGCCTGGTTCACAGTTCGACAATAGAGTTGGACAATACTTGTTATAAATCTCATCAAATTATAACAAATTTGGAACTAGACTATTCCATGCAGGGAACCTTAAAGTCAACTCACATTTCACCTGGTATGAGAACAAAAGATAAATATGCTAACAGAGGTGTTAGTGGGGCCAGCAGGGGACGCTCACCCTGCGGCCCATGTGGGTCCTAATGCCCCAGTATAGTGACAGGGACACTGTACTCTAAACAGACGCCGTCCTTCGGATGAGACGTAAAACCAAAGTCCTGACTCTGTGGTCATTAAAAATCCCAGGGCGTTTTTCTCGAAAAGAGTAGGGGTGTAACCCCGGCGTCCCGACCAAATTTCCCATTGGCCCTTACCAATCATGGCCTCCAAATAATCCTCCTCTATGAATTGGCTACATTACTCTGTTCTCCTCCCCACTGAGAGCTGATGTGTAGTGAGTGTACTGGTGCACTATGGCTGCTGTCACATCATCCAGGTGGGGCTGCACATTGGTGGTGGTGGAGACCCCATTACCTGTAAAGCGCTTTGAGTGGAGTGTCCAAAAAAGCGCTAAATAAGTGTAAGCAATTATTATTATTAGTATTAGAGTATTCTGTTTAGAGAGGTACTTTCCTCAATTTTGCTTTACCTGAAAACATAACAATGTTGCAGATTAATGGAGTATTTTCATCATGTGAGTACCTTAACAGACGTAATCATGCCATACACATTAGAATGGCAGTATTGTTTTTTTTAAATAAAAAGCACGGAGGTTTCCAGAATGAGGTGACACAAACTGTACCATAAGCTGTTGATATTGTGGGAAAAAAACAATAAAAACCCAGTGGGAGCAATGCTCCAGGATCCCTGAGACTTTGCAACCACCTGCTTTTCTTACGTAACAAGAGTACTTCTGCTCTTCTAAAACTTCAGTTTTAGAAGACTGAAAAAACACAGAAAGAACAAAGTATGTCCCTTGAGGTAATAAAATTCTGAGCATATGCTAGAACCATCAGAATACGTGTGAAATGCAAGAGAGGGGCTTCTGAAGAAAATCTCTCAGCCCCCGATCAGCCCACAAGCAGTAATGGTGGACAAAGCTGTTGGCATTTAAAGAAAAAAATGTTCAAGTGGGCAGCTGGGTCAGCAAGCCTAGACCGCAAAGGAGCAAGTCAAGGTTAACTCCATGCTGAAAAACAGAGGAAAAATGCAACATTTCAACTGTAGAGCCTTCTTCATGTACTGTATAACACCATTATCTGCTTATTTGAAAACAATGATACTTATAAAAGACTTATAAAAATGAAAACAATGCTGAAGAAAGTATTTGTTCTCTAAATGGCTCCTATGCATTGATGAACTCTGGTGAATGTGTTTGGCTTTAATCAATGCAGTAGGTCATATTGTAAAACAGACCTCTTTCATCACATATTGCTTTTAGAATGCTGAACCTTGTAAATGTACAATCATTTAAACAAATTGCTTATAAAATCGATGGATGCCATATACTGTATACTTGTGAAGTCCCAAAGGTTAGCTAGTAGCATCTTAATAGACTAAAGAGATGTGGATTCATCAGCTAACACTTACAATATTGCCAGCTTGGCAATAGACCTCGGACTTCAACTGAATTCAGACTTCTTGAGTTTTATTTGTCCCCTCGCAAAAATGAATATCCTTCCTCTTAGAAATCCTATACCAGGCTTCAAGAACAGAAATGTACATTTACATCCAAGCATGTCTTCCCCGTTGGCTCTTTAGTGTCTATAAACTATTTGTGTGCTGAAGGACAAGGAACAAAATGAATAGCAGTTACTATGTAGGAAAGGGGATGTTAAATATGTTGACAGGTGACATTTCGTAACAATAGCACAGGTCATGTCAAATGAAAGTCTTAAGTAAACCTATTTAGAAAATGAACAGAAAAAGGATTAATTAAGAAAACAGTAATAGGTATTGTTTTGAGGTGCTGTGGAAAAATATTGAGAATTTATGCGTCACGTATTAAAGCTGGTAAATTAAAACTAGCATCATCAAAACAGTAATCAACTTATTGTCTTACTGTTACAAAAGTTATTTTAAAGATTTTCTTTACTAATATAGCATGTTCATTGAAGCTTTTCAGACTCCAAAATGGGATGGCTCGTAAAAAAAATTGTATTTTCCATACGCGCCATGCACCTGCACATGAGAAGCGGTAAGCAACCAATTACAAAAGATTCTCTGCGAGTTTTGGTGTTCATACATTACTGTGCCATACTATTAAAACTGGACATAAGGCTGACCACAACACGAGAACGAAATTTATAAACGAGAGGAGGTCATTCAGCCCATCTAGCTTGTGTGGTAGATAGTAGTTAATTGAGCTCATCCAACCGTTTCCTGAAAGCAGCCAGGGTATCAATAACAGTGGTACTAACCAGGAATGTAGTTCATCATTTCTTCAAAGGTCTTCTTGGCTCTCTTTTGTTTGTCTTCAAAACTGCGAGGCTCACTGTTTTCACAAAATACGGCGTCTAGGAAGGGAATAACAAGAGTCAGTGTAAAAGGTAACACAGAAGACACTGCATGAGCAGGCAATCAACTGCCTTTGACATTCAAAACTACCATTTCAGAAATGTGTAAGAAATAGAGGGCTGGAGAGAGTTTGCTTAGAAAGAACGAAATCTTACGTATGCAAGTAGTGGTGGTTCATGGACAGAACACAAGCTTAGGACTATTGATCAAGGTGAAAAAACAAATCTTCACATTTTACCACAGATCTCACATAACCCACCTCTTAGCAATGTTATCAGAGAGACAACCCTGTGCTCCTGAAGGACTTGGTCTAACTTGTACTGTAGGTAGTAGTCAGTGTAGGCTTCAAGTGTGTTCTTAAACAGGATCCGGCCACCAGTCAGCAAATGGTGCAGCCAGTCGGGGATGTGAAACACCACTCGGCCTGCAGTTCAAAACACAGTCATAAAACCAGCAGCCAAAACACCTCCAGTTTATGTCACAACAGCGCCATCTAGACGTGAAAATAAAAAACACCATTTATGGGTTAACAGAAACCTAAAGGTTATAACCAACGTTTATTACTAACGTAACTATACACTGACATGTATATTAATGAAAGAAAATGCAGAACAATTATTCCCATCAGCTATGAAACCATGAAGTTCGTTAATCTAAGGCAGTGGTTCCCAGGCCTTGCACTGGAGTGTCACTGCATCTGTTAGCTCTCGCTCCAGCTGGGCTCTAACGCTCTAGTGCTCACCAATGACTTAATTGATCATCTTGCTTGCTCAGACCTTTGTTTAATTGTTTCTTCAGGTGGTCCCGATTGTCAGAAATACCCTACTTCAAGAGTACTATTTCTATTTCCTTCAGCACACAAAACTTCTCTTTGCTTGCTGCTATTCCTGACTAAATAGATCTTACTACTGTAGGTGATCAATTGATGATGCACAGACAGGTAGAAATGAGATTGTTTCATACAATCCCACAATACATTTTTTGCTTCTGCAGTGGTCCTCTTGGTGACATTTCAGGCAACGCACCTGAATGAGGGCAATCCAGGAACTAAGAATTTGATATAGAGCTAAAAGCAATCACAGTACACATCCTGCTCTGTGTGGACCCGCTGGCCTAAGGACAACACACACTGTGACGTACCGATATACATCAGGTAGTCATACACGCCCTCTACTGTGATCTTCTCCATGAAACAGTTCTGATTGTATTTCTTCTCAGAGCGACCGGCATTATTTTTGAACAGATCATTGAAAAGCTGCAAAGGTAGAAGAAAAAAATATCACATTTTAAATGTAACCACAGTATACTATATGAAAACTAATATTTATATAAGAATGAGGATGCCTGTAGTCCCTAAGGTACCGAGAACTTACAACAATTGTGAAAAATGTTTTTCCCCCCCAACCGCCAACAAGAAACAAAAAAAAGGAAAAAAAAACGTGACCAAAAGAGATCATCATTTTTTTAAAGGATCCTTGCAAAAGCAATCTAAATTTTGACATTAGTACTCCCTGTGATTTTGGTATACACCTTCAGCCATAATCTTTCAGAAGACGCTTATAAAAAAGATGTTAGCTTGTTCTTCCAATAAGAAACTGGAACCTGATATTATGGAAAAACATACCTTGCTTGGAAAGGCAGTTTCCTTTAAAACCACCTGTCTAAGTCTAAATTGAAGCTTTCATTTTAAACGACACGAAAAAATATAATTACAGAGCACTAATCATACATTTGGAGGTGTTACCAAAGTACAGGAAAATTTCTTAATGACTTACTCCGAAAAAGAAAGAACACGTAAGAAGATACCTGCCTGACTTCCAATTCAATTATAAGTAAGTGCTTCACTCAAAACGAGTCCGGTGCAAGCAGCACTAGCCCACCTTCTTGTTGTTTTCAGAAGTGGGGCTCAGGATGGTCAGCTCCGGGCGGCTCGGCTTGGGTTTTGGAGATTCGCACGAATTGAAGAAGGACAGAATAAAAGGCTCCAGGTGCTGGCCTTTCTGGAAAACCAAGATTTCCTCAGATACATTCGCGCTCCGTGCGGCTTTATCCTAAAAGGTTTATTACGCTGCACACTGCACTAACTACACTCTACTAACTTACAGTGGCCTCCACAAGTATTGGGACAGCAAAGTTAAACTTCTTATTTTTGTCTTAAATGGCTAAAGATGGCAACAGCGGCAGGAATTCTGGGTGGTACACAAAGTGTGCTTTTGCTATAGGATGCAAATGTAGACAGAATTAGACAAAACTGAAATGTACAGTCTTTAGTATTGTATCTTTGTATATGGTAATGTACATAGTATCGCTTCATGAGAACACACACCCAACGTGCCCAATTGTAAAGCAGGTGATTTTGTTGTACTAAAACCTTTTGGAGGGCATTTTAGCTGTAATGTACCTAAATATAAACAGAAACCTTATTTAATATTCCAATAAAAACTTAACCATTCATTACTGCCTTGACCGTCTCAAACTGTTCTCAGATTTTATTTGACGGTAAAGTAAAGACACTCAAGGACTTCAAATAAATTGTGGAATAAGGTGGAACATGAAATAGTGATTTAAAAAGAATGATTTTTTTTTAATTGGGTCCTAGAACTTTCAACCACAAAGAAACTTGAATACAATCACCACAATGGCTAAGGATGCAGGATGAAAAAGC